CGGAAATACTGTTGGGGATTCACTAGGACGACTCCTATGTTTTAGTGTTGTTATTTTAGCTTTCAAATACAAATTTATCTTGAATATTCTCTATTTGCCTTTACCCTTTCAGAGCTAGTTAGCACAGACCCATTTGTTGTGAAGCTGCGGTTTGAACCTTCAGGACGTCCCGAGTCTCAAGTTGATTATTATCTGACAGTCAAAGAGAACCTGTGTGTTGTATGTGGCAAGCGAGAGTCCTATATCCGGTGAGTTTAGTGGGGTAGGAGAAAAATGCATCTTTTTAAACAGGACTGAGGGCTGCATCTAGTTTGGCATCCAGAAGCTTGGATAGCGGCCTGAAACATCATGCTTGTTCACATACTGGATGGGCTATTGCTATTTGAATGCTCTGTAGTCGTATATGTGTGGGTAAATTTGACAGTGAACAGGCCAACCTTCCCTCTTCTTCCAGAGGCTGGAGATACCGGTCCCTGGAGAGAACAAAGCATATGGAACATGTATGTGCTGCAGTTTGAATGACAGGGGGCAGCAGTATGCCAACACATGCTGTTCTGATGGCATCCTCTTCTGAAAATAGCTGTACTATTCCTTCCACTACTTAATTGTTATATTTTTGAAAGGTTTAGGTGAGCCTGAAGCCCATGAGGTCACAAAGGGTGAGATTTTTGTCTTTGCAGCTGCTGCTGTTTAGCTGAGAGGTATGCTTGTCACACTGCATAGCTTTTTTTTTTTTTTAATAGTATGAATCACTTTTTTTTTTCTTAAATTAAAGCAATGAATTTTTGGAAGGGGGAAAAAAAAGAGAAATGCAGAAAACCTGTGGAGAGAAGTATAAATAAAAAGAAGTTGCAGAATAGCATGCACTATTGTAGCAATATAAACAAATAAACCTATTGCTGCACTGAGCGTCCTGACTCTGGTGATCTTTATTTTCCTGGACTTTTAGTATTAGTTGACCCTTTGCAGGCCAGGAAGAGGAGGAACTGGAGAGTCGCAGCTCCAGGCAAATATAATAAGCTGGCTGGCTTGTCTTCCGTAGGAAGAACATTGTCCCTCATGAATACCGAAGACACTTCCCCATCCAGATGAAGGACCACAACTCCCATGACGTGCTCCTACTCTGCACATCCTGCCATGCCATCTCCAATTACTATGACAACCATCTCAAGCAGCAGCTGGCTGAGGAGTTTGGTGCCCCCACTGGCTCTGAGGAAGGCGTGCGTCTGCTGGAGGATCCTCTGCGCAGGCAAGTGCGCTCGGGGGCCCGAGCCCTGCTGAATGCAGACAGCCTGCCTGACCCCCGAAAGGCAGAACTTCTGCAAAGCATCCAGGATTTCTTTAACACAGAGGCAGTCACCCCAGAGATGCTCCAGGAAGCAGCTGGTCTGGAAACCAGGTATAACAAGCCTATCAGTAGGTCTAACATTTTAGTCATTTATGCTGGAACGTAAGTTCAACAAAAAGTTTTCTACACATAGAGCCTTGGGTAAATATTATTGCAGAAAAATGAAAGAAAATCCAGCAGGATTTGCAGAGCTGAGGATCACACATGCTGACTTCCTCTCCTCCCCACCCCCTCAGCTTTTTAATGAAAATAAACCAAAACCCATTGCTAGTCTCCTTGGGATGTTGATGTATCTTTTCTAAAATAATGGTGTCAAGTTAAGGAGTGTCTCAGTTTCAGACTACTAGAAGCTGATCTGCACAGGAAAAATGAGCCTCTAAAAGCATAACTTTATCCTTTGTATAAGCCTGCAGAGTCTGGATTTATGGCACTTTGATGCGTTTAACTAGAAAGCAAGGATAGGAAGGAGATAACTGTATGTGCTTGTAGCCTAAGGCTCTAAGCAGACAAGCACACTCTTCATTTCTTACTGTGTTTTTGTTTACCCCCTTCTCCGCTCAACCCAGCAGTCGTCTCTGAACTGCAACTCTTGTTTCTTCCCCTCTTTTCCTTTCTCTTCCATCAATCTCCTTCCATTCTTGCTCTCCATCTCCCCCTCCACTATTTTATACTTCTTTTGAAGGACAGATCAGGGAGGGAGACTGAAAACCAATCATACCAGAAGTCTCCTCTTTTTCTGAAAGCCTCCCCAAATATCTTTTCTTAACTAGTATCTGGTCTCTGTCTGCATGAAGTCGATATTTTCTCCTTGTTACGCTCACTGTTGTTTATAATGTGCCAATGTTATAACTCAGAACCTACCCAGGCAGGGAATTCAGTGGCAGGATCAGGGCTCTGGAGTGTCATATGGCTCTTACCTTGAGAAATTTGCAGTCTGTCTCCTGAGGAGCTTGTAATGGACCTTGAGAGCTTTGTTTAGTATTGCTATAAAAGAACATTTTCTCAATTCAAGGAAACCAGCTTCCCAGTGTAACTGTGTTCCAGAAAGCAGTCTGGTGTTGAAGCAAAGCTTAAAACTCTCCCTCCTGGTTAGCTTACTTTGTGTCTGTAATTAAACTCCGCAGCTGAAAATATCTTCAGTGTCTTGCTGTTCGTAGTAGACGGATCTAGAGTCTGACAATGGGCTTGTGTGAAAATAAACTCTGCTTGTGTCCTGGCAGGATCTGCAATGAGAGCTACATGCCACACGGACTGAAGGTGGTGCAGTGTTTTGCTAAAGGAGGCCTGCGCTCCCTTATGCAGTTGGAGAGACGCTGGCGGCAGCATTTCTTGGACAGCATGCAGCCCAAGCACCTCCCAGAGCAGTGGTCAGTGGACCATAACCACACGAGGCTGATCCGGAAGTACGGGGAGGATCTTCAGATTGAGCTGTCATGAGACTAACTTCCTGGACTCTAGGTAGTGTCTAATGGACATACGTAACTGAAGGTGGAAGGACTGGGGTTTTTTCTGTGTCTGCACTAACATCTGGGCCTGCTTTTGCAAACAGGCAGCAGTGGATCTGCCAGATTCGGCATTTTATATAGTTAAATCCATTGACTTGAATTTTCAGATGGTTTGGAATTTTTAATCCTACTCTGTCACTGACTAGTTCAGTGCAAGAGTGATGTACTAAGGGAACTTGCCTTCTCAGAGTGACTATGGAGAGTTATTTTCTGCTCCCCTAGGACGGCTGATGCCTCCAGACCATCTCTTTTAACACAGAGCACAATATACGAACATTTCCACGGTATCCAACAGATATATATGTACCCTTAGCTGCACCTTGAGAGTCTCCTGATAAAAGTCTTTGCTTTCAGTGCAGTTGTACTCCTATGAGTTCTTCTCAGAGAAGACTCCCTGCCAGAGAGAGATTCCTCGTTTGGAAGTGGCAAAGAAATCTTACCTTTTTTGCAGATTCTGAGCTGTATCAGCATTGCGTATAGGCCTCAGTGAATTTCCTGGTGGCAGGTCCCTGATAAGAAGCAACACTCTTTGGCAGTATGGAAGCACCCATGTCAAGTCTGTTCTTAAACAGCTTCCAGCAGCACATGTTCTATAAAAACGTTATTTCCTACTTCCAGTTGTTTGTCATGAATAGGTCTTGGTGGATACCTTTTCATATCAGACTGAAGTGAGGTCAGGTGTCTTAAAAGGGATGCGAGGAACCAAATTTTATTTAATGACCAGCATCTTTAAGAGGTCAGACCATGTGTGGCAGAAAGCTGGAAAATCTGGTGTTCTGTTCCTGGATTTGACTTGTGTGATGGTGAGCAGGTCATACTCTCTTCACGCCTGTTTCTCTGTCTCTAAAATGGGACTAATAATACTTACCTATCTATCTCACAAGGGTGTTGTGAGGCTTAATTAATTCATGTTTTTGTAAAATGCTTTGAAAATATAAGCTAGTGTCTGTTAATTATTACTGTTGTTTTTTAAAATGTGCTGCTGTCTGACTTTCTTAAATAGTCATGTTTTTTGCCTGGTGCTAGATCTTAGTTAAATATAACTTTTTAAAATACGTACTGCTTTCTGTGAAATCACTTTTGATGATTTTGATTGCATGAGATGAGTGTGCTGCTTCTGAATGATGAAGCTATGCTCAACTTTTATAGGTCTTTCTAAAGAAGCTGCAGTAAAACTCTGAAATCATACTTCACACTACTGTGTATAGCACAGTTGACCCATATTTTATTGTAACGTTTGGGCAGAATCATGGACCTGCTGTGATTGTGGCTGAAACTCTCCCTTATCAGATAATTCACGAAATTTCACAGGCCAGGGGTGAAAAAACTGTTTGTAGCAGAGACTGTTTGAGCTAAGTAGGAGCCATGGAGAAATGGTACATTAATGCTGTCCCAGAGGACCTGCAATAGCAGCCTGGGCACAAGGAATTGAAGGTTCATGACAACTACTACTTATCACAGAGCTGCAAATGAGACCAGTTTCATTGTAAGGGCAATTCTATTCCTTTCCTGTACCGCTGACAGGTTGTAACAAAAACCGATTTTGCCAAATGTGTTCTGTCTCTGTGTTCACTCACACAGCTGATTGTAATCTCAGCAAGAACCTCCTGTCTACAGCAGCAGCTTGGATGTAACTGTTTCTCTCCAAAGCATTTTGAGCATGTGTTCAGATTGTGCTATCCGCTATATTTAGCGCTACCTGATCACGGTGGGGAGAGCTCTTTGCATGGCTCAGAAACTCCTTTTCAACAATCAGGAGTGCACGGTGTCCATCTCACTTCATACTGCTTTGGTTTTCTCCCTTTGTTCTGGTGCAGGAACTCCTGATAAAGTGGTTCTTGTTTAATGGAACCGATGGGCTGACCACAGGACTGCTGTCTTTTCTGTTTGTTGAGACAAGAAAATGATGTTGAGACAAGAATTGGACTACAGGTCATCTAAATTTAAGGAGTCAGTGGCATCACTGAAGACTTTTGTGGGTTGGTGGGGGGTTTTTTTCCCAAATCACTTGTTCAGAAATAGAAATTGGCAAGGAAAATTTCCTTCATAAATATTTTCTTAACTAAGATTCTTTGTTGTTTGTAAGATATCCTTAATTTGCATCATTTTGAGTCAACCTGAAAGAGGAGGGGAAGCAGTGTATTTATTGTGCAGAAATAGATTATTTTTATATGATGATGATTTTAAATTTTCTGCCAGTCTATAGATAAAACTTTTGTGTATATCTTCATCGCTAATTGTTACATTCAGTAAAAATTTTCTCTTTTACCAGACTTACCACTATTGAAGCTCTTCTTTTCCTTTTTCGCATGCCTGCTTTTTCTTTTCTTTCCCTGTATCCCACCCTGTCCTTGTGAGTCCATCATTCCTTACAGTCACACCTGGACCTCACCCTCTGAGTTTCCCTTTCCAGTGCCTTCCCTGATCTGTATGTCAGAGATCAGCCGTGGAAGAGCCCATGCTGGCAGCAATACTGTACTTTGAAGCAGTGCGATAGCAAGTTTGCTCAGATAGACTCAAATTGTTGTTCTGAGGCTCTTGGTGCGTTTGGGTGCTGTCCTTGGCCTGGTCATGTTGGTCAGTCATTATTGTTATGGGTCTACCTTTTTTTAAATAAAAAGTTAGATTTTGCTCAACCTGAGCATTCATCTAGGTTGCCCCAAGTACCTTACCTATACTAGGACGCTCCTGCACTGAACCCTGCACATTCATTTTGTCTGCCATGCCTCTCTGTGTGGGCTGGCTTTCACAACATGGGATTTTTCTTTCCGTCATTTGTCACCTTACATTTGTAAGTTTGCCAAAGGTGAGGTAGAGAAATTTTCCCTTTTATCTGGCACTTGATGCCACCTGCCTCAGACTGGTTCTTGCAGGTTAGTGGGGAGCACCCTCCAGCTGCTGAGGTCGCCAAACCTCACTTGGTTTATGAATTCCCTGCGGAACTTGCCTCCATCCCTTTTGTTTCAGGTGTTTTGCCTACGTGAAACGGATGTGCTTTTCTAAGAATACAGCACTCCTCTGGAGCGGGAGTACCAGCAGCCCCTGTGGTAGGTTAGCGTGCCTTCCCCCACGGGCTACAAACTGATTTCTGTCCTCCCAAACACTACAGTTTGCCTTTTTCTTGGCTTTGCAGTGACTTAGATATTATTGCAAGGTGCAAGAATTACCAGCCGAGCAGCATTTTTGATAGTCTGGCAGTTGGAGGTGCAGTGCTGCGTTTCTGAGCAGGATATACATGACATGTTAATAATGCTGCTGACAGACTTGGCATTTGGAGTGCTTTGGTTTCCCTCCTTTGACAGTCTTTAAAGGTCCCAGCTGTCACATCCATGACTGACAGGACTGAAGACAACATATCCCTGTGGGCTTCCTGCATTTTTCTCTGTTTGGTATTCACTCATGGCAGGGATGGGAAGCTCTGGCTCCCTAAGGAGTATCTGAACTCCGCACTATCTGTAACATGGTTTTGGTGGGGTTTTTTTTTCAGTGAAGGTAACATGGTTAGCCTTGCCCTGGCCCTGTGCTTAAGGGCCTTTGGAAAAATGGCCTTTTGCACGTGCAGAGGGAGCCTCTGCAATAAGGAGTCCCCAGGAGCCTTTGCCAGCGTGCAGTATTCTGTATTGATGATAGAGACACCTCCAGTCTGAACCAGTAGGTCAGTTCCCATTGCTGCTCCTTGATCTCCTCCCTCCTTCAGGCCTCCACAGTAGTCCAGACCTATACTGCCTTCTTCACTGTCATCCCCTTGATATTCGTTGGGAATAAGGGCCATTTTAAAGCCCTTTCTCTCATTTCTACGTAGTGCTGTGTTATTGGCGTAAGGGCTTTTCCCCACCCTCGGGGGTACGTTGTTCTGGAGAAAGGGATAGACAGTTTGAGATAAGTGCAAAGAAGTCATACTTAGCTTTATTTGTGAGTTATTAAGGGAGTCACAGTTGCCCTCTTGTATTAGTCCCACATCAAGGGAGTTTAGTTAAATGCTTTTGCAGGTAGAGAGGGTAATGCAAGAGTGCCAAGATGGTTAAGCTTACTAAAGGGAAAAAACCCCAAAGCCAAAAAGCCAAATAAACATGCATGGAACATAATTTCCCATATTCAAAGCAGATTCTTTTATCACTGTGAATTCCATCATGAACAGCAGACAGCTGTGGCAAGGATTGTCTGCACCAAGGTTAGTGCTGCATCCTCTATTCCCACTTAACTATCACGGTGCTTGTTTCTTTCTTGAACTAGCCAGCGTGATACTACCTGGGGTGTCGGTGTTGGTCACCAGGAAACAGAGCAAAACCTTCTTTCTTGTATTATTTTTCTTTGCAAGCTATTGGGCAAGTTCAGTTTCTGAGAGAGTAAACAGAACTGAAAAAAAGAGGACAGAGGCTTTTACTGTAAAATAGAGATGTCATCTTCAGGTAACAAGAAACCATTTCCTTGTACAGGAAAAACTCAAGCTTCATCTATAGATGATGTAAAATATGGCTTCTATCTTTCTTTTCCTAAAAAAATTGAGAGATTATGCAGTGGTTAAGGAGCAAAAGAGAGAAGACATACATATATCTCAGCACAAATATGACAAGTTGGCAAAAAGGTACTAGGCAGCTGTCAGAAATGCAGGCTTAAGAGAAAAACTGCCTGTCTAAATCCCCTCCACAAAAACCTGCAGCTCTAAGAAGCTGTTTCAGGTTGTAGCATGCTTTGTGGGGAACTGATGTGTATCTGTTTCACACTGATTAACAGCAAGTCCTTTCCAATTGATTGTCCTTTGAAAAATGCCAAACAGTACTTTGCATCAGCTGAGATATGCCAAGTGTTCTTCCCTTTTTCCTCTCTGCCCTGACTCTGTCCAGGACTTTTAGCCGTAAATAAAAGCAGAGAGACTGACTGCTGGTGGCAAGTTGTGAAAATGAGAGTGGGACCTCCTTTCAATGCACTGTGAATAAAAAATAGTTATCCCTACTTGTCTAGCAGGAGCTATGGAGAGCCCAGATCTGAGCTATAAGTATGTGTATATAGTTTTATGTTAGATTTTTGCTATTCAGATAATGCTTTCCATATGTTTTAAAAGCATTACACCCTCTTCTTTCCCCCTCTGGTTCTCCTGTGATATATGGGTAGCGATACTAGATGTTGTTCATCTGCACATCTCAAAGTGCTGTCATCTCTTAAAGACTGGCTCCATTTTACAGATATTTTCCCCACACCAGAAAAATAGTCAGTCCAAGCTGTAAGATTATAACTTAAGAAATCCTTACAGAGCCCTGGAAAATACCAGACTAGACTGCCTGTCTCTTAACAAATTGGTTACGGGGGAGAAAACTTAAA